AATTAGCAACAAATATTCATGAACTTGATAATGCTATTAATATAATGAAAGAAGCTATTGAAATTCGTGAAAAACTTGGACATATGAGAGGACTTGTTGCTAGTTTAAATGTACTTGGTTCAATGCAAATGAGATATGCAGATTGGAATATATCATTTGATATGACATATATTAAATATGCTGTTGAACAATTTTATCGTTCAATTGAATATTCTGATAAACATGCATCTGTATTTGATCAATTTCAAGCACGTATTCATCTTGTAGTATGTCTTCTTCGTTATCCATCTATTACAAATACAATTGATGAATTACAAGAATTTTTAAATTATTTTCAAACACATATAACTGATGATCTTCGAACACAAATTGAATGTGAATTTTGTTTAGCTATGAGTATATTTACTAATACAAATTTATCATTAGAAGAAATGTGTGATCAAAGTAAAGAACTTTTCAATAGATTAGCAAATAAATATACATCAAATAATGATGTTCGTTTAATTCGTATTCTTGCTGCAGCACGTTTTAATGCTGAATTATGTAATGATTGGAAACAAGGACAAGTTCATAGACCTAATCCAGAACTTACACGAGATATAATAACAAGAAAAACACATATGAATACTAATGCTTATTGGCAAATGCGTATATTACGTGCTGAAACACAAATTCCACTTAATATATATGATCGATTACAACTTCTTTTGGATCCTATATCACCATAAAAATTTTCTATAGTATTTTTTTTTATCATAATTCAAGAAATTTTCATTGAATTATTTAAGTAAACTCTGTTAAGAATCATCCATAAAGGATGTTCAAGTAAATGGGAAGAGTGGTCAAACATATTTGCATGTTCAAACATTTACTATGAATATTTTCTTTTTTTTTCATGTAAATTTTCGTGAAATTTTGAAGCTTATAAGGGAGTCTCTTCAGATGTTAAATCAATTTTGCGGCTGAGACAATACTCATTTGATAAGTACTAGAATAGTTTGATTTTTCAGGCGTTCATCCTTGAGATATCAAAATTGTATTGAGTTTTTCAACAAGAAACTATGCTCCTACTCAAGTCACATGCAAAATCAAGTTTTTATTTCAAAATCTGCATGAAAAACGTTCTCAATGAAATTAGTTCCTTGGACAAGTTGTAATTTTTCTAGTAACTCCTATCATGAACTATGAAATATTTGGAATACTAGGGAGAACTCGTGCATACTGCACAGCAAGGTTTTTTCTTTAACTTATTACCTCAAAACTTTAACCTTTCACTCGGTAACAGATTACAGAGACACTCGACATTAGGAACATAGAAACGCTACGGCGTGATATCCTTATATCGCTAATACTCCATGTAGCCTTACAGCATTATATTTCTTGTCGCTCTTCTAGCCTTATGCGCCTATAGGCTTATCGCTTGTAGTTTAAATCTCTCAGAGCATTCACCCTTATAGCATTCCTCCCTTATAACCTTATCCACTAATTGCCTTACGACCTTATAGTCATAGCCTTACCCACTTATTGCCTTATTCAACCTTTGACCTCTGACTCGACACAGAGAGACAGACAGACACTGAACATTATATATATAGATTCTCATGTATTAAAGAAAATACTATGAATGCTAAAACTTGTATAAGGACCGTATTTGTACGAAAGTTTGAAATCGAAAATCGGTATTGCTCATAATTTGAGAGGACGAAAACTCAATATAGTTTCGATATTTCTAGAACAAGGGCCCAAAAACTACATGAGCAAATACTTACAGTAATACGAACGCTGTTCGATTTTCAAGTGTTATTTTTTTTCTTTTTTCTATTTGCTACTTATTAAAATCGAATGTATTTTAAAAAAGTGAAGGATCTTTTTAAAAGTTTTTTTTTTACTCTACTTGAACACTCTTTTTAGATAATCTTTTAGTTTGTTAAAATGTTTATTTTGACAATATTCTTGTAAAAATTAAGTAAATCTTACAAAAATAAATTATACAATTTAATGCATCGATTACTATCAAAAACACAAAGAATCAATGAATTTATTCTACATCTAAGATTACATTTTGAAGATTCTGAAACCAATCAAATTTATAACCAATTGCATCATATATTAATTGTTTCTCTTGTATTGACTTTGATAATTGAGTTTTTTCTTTTAATATTTTCAATCCATTCATAAATTCAATTGAATTAGTTGCTATTTCACATAAATTATATTTTACTAAAATATCTTCATAGATTTTATTTGAAACTTGCATAATCGGTAAATCTATTAATACAAATTGTGATGCCATACTTGTTTGATAATAAAGAATACCATCAGCAATAATTTGTACTTCATCAGTAGTCAATGGAGATAAAACTACTTGAATAGAAGAACGATTTGTTAGTAACCATTTTTGAAATAAGAGATCATCTTGATTTTCTATTTTTGCTGCTGGATGTTGATGAATAATAAAAAGAATATCTTTACATAAATTCATATCTATACATGAAAGAAAAGAAAGAAATGTAGGAAATGCTTGTTCATAATAAACTTGATTATTTCCACCGAAATAAACAAATAAATATTTAATTTGATTCCAATGATATTTTTCTCGTAATTTATTTCGTTCAAGTTCACGTCGTTGTTGTAAATTTTCAGCTATGTCTATTGGATAATAACCAATACCTTGAATATTTTTATCATCAAGATTGATTTCAATATTTGGCAAAGAAAATATCTTTGAATTTCTTTTAATTAAATTTATATTTGCAAATAAAATATTTTGAGATAATTTAATCATCTCTTCAGATCTAATCGAATAGCCACCAGGTACATATTCTTCTGGATTATCATAATAACACCAAAATCGAATATTACATAATGAAGTTTTAAGTTTATTAAATGCTAATTGAAGTTCTAGATTAAATTTATTTGCAATATCAACAATAATTGTTCGAGCATTTTCACTAACACAATTATTGATTAGATCTATAGCTAAAGTTTGTTTTTCTTCATTTTTAAGTCCATCTAACATAAAATTAATGATACGTATACCATCAAGTAATACTAAATCTTGAAATTTTCCTATAACTAATTCACTTGCATAAATATCAATACGTAATTTACCTATGGCAAGAAATTTTTTAGCAAATTCTGCAAAATGTATTGCTGGTCCATTATCACAAACTATAAAACATACAAGTGGTAGATGATCATACATTTTTGCAAAGAATAATAATTTTGTACCAATTTAAGGTATAAGTATTTATGAATAAATTTAATGCTTTAATTCTCAAGATTCGATTTGATATTTTTCTATTCATACAAATTTTACCATATTATATACTTATATATTTAATGTATATTGGTAAAATCCTAATTCAATTGGATAAATCCTCTTCTCAAATGCCATATAGTTACGTTGTAGATAATGACGCATAGTAATTACTAACTTGTTTACAATCATTTGAAAGAAAAAAGAATATAGGTAATAAAAATTTTTATCTATTACTTTTCCAAGGTAATCAAATACAACAAATTTTTACAATATTAATAATTCATTTATTAAAGAAAATAGAACAAGTAGAAAAAAATTCTCATTTATTTCATCTTCTATTAAGTAAGAATAAAATAAATTCAATAAATTTTTATGACATAGGATAAAACTTCATAACAGCAAATGTATAAGTGTCATTAATATATTGATACGTAACTATAAACAAAAATAAAAAGTGCACATGTATTAAAAAAAAGAACGAAAAATTAATAAGCTTCATAGAAAGAGAACATTAGAACAGCAGCAAATTAGTTTATTGCATGATAAAGAAAATATACAAAAGAATATTTTAGATTTGTTATGAATATTTATGAATATAAACATTTAACAAAAAACCAAAGAACTTCTCAATTAATTAATCAACCGTTATAGTATTACAATTCAGCTGTAAACTAAATTTGAATATTAACCAATTGTATATCCAATCTTCTACATATATCGAAGAAAAAGGTAGAAAATGTCATATCGTACGCCTCTTCAAGTGAATTGTTTTACTTATTCATATTTTGAAGAGAACTAATTATTATAAGTATAGACTTTTATACTTGAACATTGACTAGCATGAGTTATTTAATTCAGTTTGTACAATATACAGAAGATAAACAACTGACAATATTAATGACATTAGAGTTTGGGTTTTTTTTTAAAACTAATTTTAACGGGGAATTATTCCATGAAATTCCAATGGAGTTAAAATGTAAGACAAGATTAAAATTACTTCTCATTTGCAACAAGTAAGTTTTAATGATAATGTCGTTTGTACATCTGATATCAATTCAATCTCGTTAAAGTAATAAACTAATTTTTATGAACACCATCTAATACATCATATCTATCCTGTCCTATAGACTGTTACTAGCAAAAAATAATGGACGAAGCTGCATATAGTATCATAGAGTTTGATAGAAATTTCTATTACTTAGTCTATCTAACCATCAAGAATAATACTACCAACATAGATGGATGCGTCTTTACAAGTGAAACAAATCAATTGTGTTTTATATTTTAATTTCGCAGAGACTATACTTCTAGATAAAATTATTTCAAAATTGATTTGTATTACATTTACAATAATTCTTCAAGACTCGTCTTTCTTATTTATTTCGTCATTGACTAGCACTTTTTAAATCATCTCATGTGAATTATTTTCTAATGCATATATTTTATAAAATAATTTATTTCAACCTATAGAATATTTTACTAAAAACTTGAATTCCGATCTTAACAAATTTTCTAGTGCATCCGTTAAAGTTTTATTTTATGATCCTGTACATGTCTAGTCTGTAAAAAAAAACAGCTCTTTGTAAATAAAAAGCGCGGTCATACTATTATACTAAAATGTGAGAAATATAAAAGTCAAGAATATAATTGCAGAAATTCAAATACTTTATTTTTTTTTCAATTATCTACAACCGACATTATACAATATCAAAAGAAAAACAACGAACATAAAAGTCGGTTATTTATAATCAAAGATAACACGATGAAGATTTTTTGGCCAATCCGATGTATATCCAATAGCATTATAAATTAATTCTTTAGATTGTTGAATTTTATCCGATGAATAACTTCTTTCTTTCATACTTGTTAATCCAACAGCTAATTCAATTGTATTAGTAGCCGTATAACATAAATTAAATTTAACTAAAATATCATGATAAATTTCATGTCCTACTTGCATTGTTGGTAATCCGAGAAGAACAAATTGTGGTGCCATACTTGTTTGATAATATAAAGCAGCATCAGCAATTATTTGTGCTTGATCACTTGTTTTTAATGTTGATAAAATTCCTTGAATATGATTATTTTTTGATAACCATTCTTGAAATAAAAGACCATCTCGATTTTGTTTTTTTGCAGCAGGATGTTGATGAAGTACAAATAAAACATCTTGAATTATATTTTTATCTATCTGTGAAAGATTTGATAGAAATGTAGGAAATGCTTGATCAAAATAAACATCATTATTTCCACCGAAATATACAAATAAATGTTTAATATTAGTCCAATTATTTTGTACACGTAAAGTATCTCTTTCAAGTTCACGTTGTTGTAATAATTTTTCAACTTCTACAACTGGATAATAACCAATACCTTGAACAGTTTTATTTGTTAGATCGATTGATTTTTCAGGTAATGAATATATAATCGAATCAATTTTAGCCAAATTCATATTGGCAAATAAAATATATTGTGATGCTTTAATTGTTTCTTCAGTTTTAATTGAATAACCACCCGGTACGTATGGTTCTGGATTATCATAATAACACCAGAAACGAATCATATCAGTAGGAAGATTTCGTTTTGATGAAACTAATTGAAATATTGCATCAAATTTATTGCCAATGTCAATAATGATACTATGTGCACCTTGTTTCAAACAATTATCAATTAATTGCGTAGCTACTTGTTCTTGTTGTTTACGATCGCCATCTTCAACTGTGAATGAAAGAAGTTGAATATCATTTGGCAAATGTGAATTTTTTAATTTAGTTAGAGCTGGTTCTGTTGCATATATGATGATTTGTAATTCATTTTGATTGAAAAGATTGGTTGCAAAGGCTGCGAAATGACCTGCTGGTCCACCATCACATACAATAAAGCAAACGAGTGATGTTGATGTTGCATTGTTACTCATTGTTGAAATAGCAGATAAATAGAGAAAAAAAATATATGGAGATTAAGTAGTTAGGTAAGAAACATGTTGGTTGTAGTCGACTATAGTATTGTTATCTTTTTCACGATCACATTATTTGCTCACAGAAAGAATAAATTTGTTTTTTTTTACATCTTAGTAGAATGTTGTTTATTTGCTTTGAAAGATCCTTACACATTTGATATCCTGTTATACAACAGATATCTTTTAACATATATCTAATATCAGACGAAAATATCATTAATCTGTTTTACTAATTATCGAATTGTTGAATTAATACATACCAGTGTTTTTGATTAGATGACCTATTCAGAGAGATATTTTGATCAAATAAATGTTTTTTGCTAGGTGAATCATTACTCATTTTATTAAAAAAACTGATGTTGACACTGAATTCGATGGTATTTATTCATCAATGATTTCTTTTTTCTTCGTGTCTCATTCATTTGTTTCTGATATTGTAAAGATTTAATATAAATTTGTCTGTTAAGTATGTCGACTTGGTTATCTGTTGGCGTCTGTTTATCAAGTTCTATACATAGAAAGAACGCTCTTAATATTATGATTTAATTAATTATATATTTTTTAGTTGCATACAGATAAAAAGCATTCGTCATTATTTCATTCACAACACACTATCGACACTTCGTAATGAACCATTAACCATGAGCTATTGATATAGTTATTTTTCATTGCATGTTCACTATTGTCTATTTTCTCAGTGATATTGACAGTTTCGGTGGATACATTTATCTCAGAATTGATCTTCTTATTGATAACCGTAAACTATATTGAACTGTAGACATTATCGTTTTCGTTATAAATGAAAGTTTGACTATTTGTACGAGATACATCTCATTTGTTTTTAAAAATGAATGTTATAAGAAACTACCCTATTTGTTCCAGAGATGTCCATCGCGGTCGAAAGCTCACCGCCACCGCATCACGGTATAAAAATAACCTACCGCCATCACACCGATTCCGAGGCGATGTTCAAGAAATTTTGTTGACTTTGGACCTTATGATTCGTCCGAACAGGAATAGCTCCTAGTAGTCGGTCAAATTTGTCGAGTCTTGCCACATAGCGGATATGAATACCGAGATTCCTTGAAAATTCGTTAGTTTTAAAAATTTCTTCCTAAGAAATCGACCGCTGCCGCGATGGTATTTAAAAAAACTCTCCGCACCGCTACCGTCACGGTGGTAGCGGTGCGGAGGTGGTGGCGACCGCGTTGGCACCACCATGGACATCTCTGATTTCTTCATGTCTAACGATCATCAGTGATCTATGTATGACAGCCTCGTGTTACTATCAACCTTCATCCTATTGTTTGTCTGGATGAACTTGCCGTAAAATGCACTATCAATTTATATTAATTATGAGTATTTTCCCAATATATAGACGATATTTGTCGGTCGTAGTAAGTTAGATGCATTTGTAGTGTGAAGACATGAACTGCATGTTATAATATGCTACTATAGACAAATATAGATATCTTAAATATGTATACAAATACTGAAATAAATTTTTACTTATTGACAGTGAAAATATATCCTTTTCTTTTATCACAAACAGATTAGTTTAATCATTAATAAATTTCAATTCAGCTAATAAAAAATCTATTTACTCTTCATTTTTTATATCAAACTTAGAAGTCATGTATCATGTGAATGTCGAAATTTGATCAAACCATTAGGTGTAACTGAAGCGAAAAGAATTCAACAATCAAAGTTTGTCAATTCGTAAAAAAATTAACAAAGTAGTGTCATTGATTCATTACTAATTTAATAGAGCAAATTGACTTAAGCAACATTTCTCTATAGGTGTATTTCGTATACCATCGACTAGAATCTTGCTGGACAAACTTGTTCATGTTCCGATATCAAAATTCCCGTCTCAGATTCTTTTGAATTAGCTTGTTAACTGAGAAAAATATGAAGATTTTGTGCAACACACATATATTTTCGAAGAAAATAGTGAGTGTAAGTTTTGAGCTCAAGGTTTCGTGGCTCTCCTCTCTCCTTACAGACACCCGCATTACAGACTGTAGCAACTTCGCCAAAAAAAGAAAAAATGTCTGTTCGAAATATAGAGATAAAAAAGACAGCGTTTTCTGATAATCGATTATTATTAGAAGAGAAATATTATCTTTCGAATAATTTAAATATTGAGTATATTGTGATTAGTATAAAGAAACCAAAGAAGATATGTGAGTTCGACATTTCAGCCCTAAAGGGGCTGCGCTAACAGGCTTTTCAATATCAACAATAGAATAAATGTGTTCACGTAAATAAAAATTAATTATTTGCTGATATGCTGTGACGTTCTAAATTATTTATACACTCAAAGAAAATAGCTAAACACTTTTGTCTGTAAAAAAGAAAAATCATGTGTTTCAGTTTGACTTGAAGTTGTTCATCCCAGATTAAGAAATACGAGCCGTACTCGACCTGGAATGAATAGTTTAGGACAAATTGAAACATAGAATTTTTTGTTCTTTTTTACCTAAAACAATTTTTTAGCGATTTTCTTCAAGTGTATGAATAATTTGAAACGTCACTGTATATAATTGACAACGCAATACCGTATAAAAGAGCATGCCTGAATGCAGATAAAACTAATGTTTTGCTCTTTATCGAATATATTTTCAAATGTTACAAAAAATTTACCTGCCTGCTATTGAAGCATAAAAAAAAGAGATGAGCGAGACAATGAACCTAAATTTCAATAAAGTGTCTGAACTAATAAAGAGAACGATAATGAACAGCTTTAGAAGAGTCTTATAATATTTTTTTTTCTACAGTTTTAGTTTTTACTATTTATTAATATATTTGACAGGAATAAAAAGGACTAAAGTGTCAGACGTGTTCTAATATGCACGATTATAAAATTTTGGATGTTTATGTTTTTTTAATATAATATATATATTGCAACCATAGTTAAAATGGAGTAATGCAAAATAGAACTATGCATTTCTTTTTCCTCGCCGATGAGTAGTCTTTTTTTTTTGTTGTTTTTTAAATCGTCATAGACACAACAAGTGCGTAATTATTTTATCAAACAAAATTCAACAAACACATTGTCGACAAATATAAAAATATTTTCTCTCAAGGATAATAAATATTTAGATTATAATTGTTTTCATATAAGATAAAATAAAGACAAGAGTTTCACTCGTCCTTTTTGTGGTAGATAATTTTTAAAAAATCGAGAAGAAAAAAGCGATAAGTATACCTCTTCTCTTGCTTACCATATACACAGCAAATGAAAAAAAAAGACTTTTACTTTTCATTTAAGCCGTATAGTTGACTTGGCAAGAAAAAAGAACCTCATTGAAGATATGAATATATGCTTATGATGAAGCTTGCTTGCATACAATAGTACACATATAATATTTCGCACACTATTTGTTTCTCTCTCTCTAAATTAATAACTATCAGATTTTATTGTGGGAGACTAGAGTGAAAAATAAATCAGAGTTAGCAACAAACATGGTAAACTTTCATCAAATAAAGATAAGAAAATAGAAAAGAAAAACTTAACCACATAGAAAATGTTGTAATAAAGAGTAAATGATAAAAAACACAGCTTAAATATTTTTTTGGTCTATTAGTAAACCGCGAGACATAAGGTAGGCTAGTGAGATTTCTTATCTTCTATAATTATGTTTGAAAATAGAACAAGAATGAAATTATTGATGTACAATTTTGTACTCTTAGATATAATATTAGGAAATAGTTGCTTATTTACTTCTATATCATAATTAATAACCAAAGTATTATTTATTGATTTGATTTCTATTTGACTTTTGTTTTTAGAATTTTTATTTTAAAGAAATTTTTGAATAATGGATCTTGAATATACTGTAACAGAAACTGTAATAACTCTTAGTGGTTTAGTCATTGAAATTAATTATGAATTTGATGAAATAACAGTAGAAAATGTGAAACGTGGTACAAGCGTTAAACAAGAACGTCGCAGTCGATCATATGTTGCAAATATTACACGTGAACATTATAATGCATTAGTTCGTAGAACACCAGGTGCATTAGAATTTGATGAATTTATTCATGTTTTGCGTCCATTTATGATGGGATTTTATAAACACAATGAATTAGAAAGAGCATTTCATATTTTAGATAAAGATCGCTCGGGTACTGTTCATGTTAATGAAATAAGTATGTTTTTACCCGTAATAAATGAATCTGCAACACATGGTATGTTAAAAAATTATATAAAACAAGTTCATTCGAATGTTGACAATAATTTAAATTATGATGAATTTCGAGCATTGATCTTAAAAGGAATTGGCCGTGATATACTTTGCCATAGTGGATGAATTAGATTTACAATTATATATTGCATAAAACAAATACATATATATACTGTTTTTTTTCCAAGTGCAATTTTTTTTTGCTGTCACACTATTTTAAAGATTTTTCTTTACTTTTTAATGAAATTAGCTTACAAATAAATTTTAAATAAATGACTTATCAATAATTATCTTTTTTTATTTTATATTTCAGATCATTTAGTAGTAGTAGGAAAAAAAGATGCATTTGCATTTTGGATTGATAGTCAGTAATTTAATCGATAGAAAGGTGTTTCGTAGATAAAAAACAAAAAAACAAATGTCCTTGATTTTGTTGTTTTCATTGAACTGTTATCCCACCGAAAGTCTATGTAAATGAAGGCACATGCTTTTGGCTTGTAAAATATTTGGAGTGAGTGTGAGTATGGATGCCCCCTGTATATGAAGGACATCACGGCGTTCACACTCCTATTTGATGTACCTATCTAATATACACTCATGAACTATCACTTGTTTAGTTCATCATTTTATCTTGTATGTGTCATAATAAATTTAAACAAAAGTCATCAAATATGAATTAAATATGAATAAGACAATGAAAATCGACAAGACCATTTGACCACTAATAGACTCATCAAAATAATGATAAGCATCATCAGCATAATTCCATCCACTACCAGATGAACACTTTTCGGATGATTTACCTGGCAGTTGTTTTATACCTGATCAACGCCAATCACAATTGTTGAAACTAAATATTGTTGATTCAATCTATTGATGATACATAGGATATTGACAAGTGCTATCATTGGAATCCAGTACAAGATCAAATTTGCACAGTCCGATACCGATTATAACTTGTTTTGAATATGCTTCACAAATCTCTGTTGTACACTTTCCTTCAAGACAAATACCACGTATTGCTTGGCGCTAGGCTAATGCATGCTTCGATCAATTAGCTCTTTTCAAACCGGACTCATTAGACATGTCTACGAAACGCACATCCATACCGACATGCATAGTCATGAAACGAGTAAAAAATACAAGATTCCTTATAAAACAAATGTGTCATTTTTTAACTTGAAATTTTAAAACACTAAATTTTTCTATTTTAAGACAATGGAATAAAAGAGAACTCTGAAAATTGAAGAATTTTTCTTTGTCTTACTAGGAAATTCGTTGTTTGAAGGAGACGAAATTTCTTTCAAATAGATTTTGTGAAGATTAGGTGACTCCTTCTTCAAAGCTTCTATTTTGAAGTCTCGAACAGGAAAATTATATAATTTGTTGTTCAGATTGATAATAACAATGTTGTTTAATATCTTTACCACTATCACAATCGATGTTAAATATAGTTCTTGTGCTTGTCTTACCAAGAACCTGTTCATTTTCCTAATAACTTCATGACAGATGTGCATAGAGCAAAATCCCATCAAATGAATAAATCTCCTTCCTGATATTGTGAACTTAAATCCATTTTTACTCCTCGATATACAGTTTGACGAATTAATGAAAGTTTAGATAGTGTAATAAGTATTAATTTCAAATAAAAAAAAACCATGGTTTCAATTTTTGTCTATTTTCAGTGCGAATTGCATGATTTAAACCGAAATATAAACATTGTTTATGTGGCTCCCATACCATTGAATGTAGGATGATGAAAGCTGATTCATCTCCATATAAGACCATTGGCAGGTATAGGTTTGCATCATTGTTTAGCAACACTGGCATATTGTTGAATGGTAGGTAACAGAAAAGTAAGTGACTTCACTGCTTCGTCAAGTCCTACGAAAGATTCTTTTTCATATCCTCCAATAGATGCACGCCAATCATCAGAATTTTCAACAACATCAGAAATTCGCATATAAAATTGTACAGCAGTTTATATATTGATGGTTACGTTGAATAATAATACAGTATAATTAATGAAAAAAAAAACAGATTTAGATTTTCTAAAATAAAATTAAGAAATCATTTTAAAATATTTCTTTTGTTAGCATCAATTTAGATGAGTTTATTTATTTAATTATATTTATAATCAAAAATACGTCAATCAATAACAATGATTTGAAATAGAATAAAACAATAGAACATTCTCTTCATCATACAATCAGATTGTAGATACCGAAATTAATACTCATTTGAAAAGAAACAGTGGCATAAATCTAATCTTTTAACAGATAGCTAATCCAAGATTGTTTTCTATTACATTTATTAAACTTTGAAAACAATAGAACTATATATCCAAGTAAGACTCGCATAAATATGTGTTTTGTTTAGTTCTGTTTTAAGTCAATTTCAATAAGATTCATTTAATTGGAGGTGAGTATTTCAATAGTAAATAAACAAATTTTATTCAATAGAAAATATAGCCAATGACATCTTTCACAAATCGAAAGATTTCATAAATATTGTTGAGAAAACGTTGCCACACCTAGGAAAACCATTCAAATCTTTAGGTCAGCTGCAGACCTATTTTCTTATTCTTTTTTTCTGGTCGAGAAACAATCGAACGTTATCGAAATGTTTTTCCTACATCTTTTCAATCAATTTTCCAATTATCAACTTATGAGAACTACAATTTTAGCTTTGTGTATTTTCAATGTAAACACTAATAAACACTAACGCAAGTAAGACGACAACTCAGTATGAGTAAATTAATACTTCGACTGCAAACTTGATGAAAATATGTCTTCGATAGTGTTAGTAAATAATATTTATTCACTACGTCATCATTTTCATTTCTACTTCTTTTTTTTTACCTACGTAAATAACAGGAAAAAAAATGGCTAGAGTTTTCATTTTTATTTGCATGAAAGAAAAGCAAAACTGCTTTATTACATTCATTCATTCATTCTTCTTTTTTTTTTTGACAAAAAATTGTAAAACAAGCTGTAAAAGAACTCGTGTGGTATTTTACAACAACATTAAAATTCACTCCTAGAAAACATTACTTCATTCTTCAATTTGAGCCTTTTAAATTTATTGTTAGTTGAAAGTTTAACATGTCGAAAATACAACAATTGATTGTATGAGAAATAATAATGACGATCAATATTCTTGCAATTGTTTCTGCTTAAATTTTGACATATAAAACAACTAGTTACCTTTTATCAATTAACCTAGGCCTAATACTTTTCTTTCAATATAACGTGCCAGATTTATTTTTTGCTGTGAGAACAACATTTTTTTTGTACAATGATTTCAATGCATATGATATTCGTAAGAGATTTATTTATTATTCAAGATATACTTCTAAAAATCTACTTAGAAAGACAAAATCAATTGTGCAAACAATGAACATGAAACAAATCACACGGTTTATTGTTTTAAGTTTGATATATAATACATGTGCTATTTACCCACATGTTAAAAAAAATGAATTTTATAATATCGATTTCATTCCGTTGACATAAAATGAAAGCAATAATAAATATACCACCCTTGTCAACAAATAAAAAATAAAAAAAAGCAATATATTTTAAATGATATATAGTATAGTCTACTAATAATTGTTGAGACTCAATAATTAGTACAAAAACACTATTTTTATGTTTTTATTTGCTAATCTATACGCCATTTTCAAGAGAGACAACGTTGTTTATTGATAATAGCACCAGTTTTTTATGAGATATTCATAAATACGACACTTTCTTTGAAATAATGAATGATTATAGATTGAATAATTGAACTTAATTATCTATCTTAATCATATTCTTTTTCCAGGTTAAAAACAAATTTCATAACTGGATAAAACGGTAATGTTTATGAAATTATGTTCAGTATATCTGTCTTTCGCATATATTTAGTATTTCAATATAGTTGAAAAAATAATAATAAATCAAATCTTCTTTGACATTTAATTCTCTTGGTAGTATTTTGAACAATTTTATCGAAAAAATTATTTTGTTTCTCCTTTAAAGTTCGTCTCAAACTAAAATCACTATTAACTACAGAAAGATCTTTATTTCATGAGATAAATATCAACAAAGGTGATAATTAAGAAAAATTACCATCCTTTGTGTCAGTTGACAAAATAAAATTTCAAATTTTTACCGATGCTTAAGTAACCACAGATTGAATGGTTGACTTAATAGTATTTCGGAATAGTGTACGAGAATGTTTTTAGTAATGCTAATATGTTTGATAAACTCATAATCTTGCTCATAGTTAAACCATTTCATCGTTTCATGAAGTTCTCTATTGAAATTCCTTTTTTTGCTAAATAAACGTGACAATTGACATCATTTTTGCACGTATTAAGTGTTCAATTTTAAACAATTCTTAATGAATAATACGAGCGTCAGTTGATATTTCCAGCCATTAATGATTATTGTATAACTGAATACATACTTTTAAGATGAAAATTTAACGCTAATAAATTCTAGTTTCTTTTTTTCTGACACCCGGAAGCTAAATAACATAGTCTACCATGAATATAATCACTACGTGTGCAGCTTTTTGATGTATTATGTAGAATACAATCTGATTGTTTGATAGAAATGTTTCATCAATTCTACAATAGACATCATCAAGTGTGAAATTATTTTTGTTTTCATGGGAGTTGACATTCATGTGACGAATAATATGATATTTAAACAATTCGCTATTATCTGTCTATTATTCAACCATGGTACACTGATAGTTGTTCTGTGATCGGCAGTCTTCTATTTATATTTCAGCAGTATTTCGAACAAACGTGCGATACAGATAGTTAAATCAATATCATCTTTCTTAGGATCAACGTTATCGGAATTAAGAAATTGAATATGAATATCTTTAGTTTGAATCGGCACTTCTAAACTCATCAATCTATTCTCAATTTTTATCACAAACTGTAACTTTAGCATCTTTTCACTTGTGTGTTACACGTTACTAGAAGAAGTAAAACAAGACGTAAATTATAAACATCTAATAACAAAACAAAAAAAAACGGTAGATAGAATATCAGTATATATTTTATAAGTTCATCCATTGGTGATGCTAAAAGTAGTTCTTTTGATATAATAAAACGAAATCTGAGTGATTATATTATCATACTCGATCAACACATAAAATGAATAAACGCTATCTTGTCATGATCAACTTATATCTTCTCTTTTAAAGTGATAAATTCGACACTCTTTCACGTAATGAGAAAGTTAGATATGATTATAGGATTTGACTATTGACGTGCATGAACAGAAAAGCACTATTCATAGTCATTCACAACAACATTCTGATAAAAATACATATTATATATAAAAGTGAACATGAATTTATTAATTGATACATTTTTATTGTGAACATTTAATAGTTCAAATAATATCATGTTATAGATATACATGAAACATGATATTCAATGTTAAAACATAGAGCTATTTTTTTTTCTTCTTTTATTTTGTTTGTTTTTCTATGATTTATTAAATTTTCGCTCTTTTTGTTCCGACCATCTCTCTTCAGAACAGAGAACATGACTAATAATGAGAAGATGAATCATCAGAATAAACTAAATCGTTACCCATTATGTTAATTGTCATATCAATATACATCCTATATAGATAGAATGTATCTGTTAATAAAAAACCATGTTCACTTTCATATATATGTACTTATTATAATGCAACTACTGAACTTGGTAATAATATTATTTCTCTATTTGGAAAATTAGATACAATCATAGTTTTTGAATTTACAATTTAAATAATTAAATCATAATATTAATGATAACATTATTATCTACATTATTGATATGATTATTAACGTAATGAGTATTCATTTATTTTATTCTGATGAATCACCTTCTCAGTATTATTTATGCTATTTGTTCTGAAGATGATCGGAAGAAAAAGAAAAAGCTCTATGTTTTAACATGAGTATCATGTTTCATGTATATTTATAGTATGATAAATTTGAACTATTAAACGTTCAAAATAAAAATGAATCAATTGTTGATCTCATATGAAAATATATATTGTTGCTTATTGAATAGACAAAATTTATCAACCCTCTAATATATTATAAGTGATTGCTTCGAATCTCTATGTTTATTTCTTATGGTCTTTCTTTGTTCACTTGATTGTTTGACTTTGATTCCTCGTTAAATAGAATACATCAAGAATTCGTCGAAGAAACTATTATTTTTCTTTTTTCTTTTTTTATAGAGAAGTGCTCAATAACAAATAAACATGATAAGAATCGTTGCATTCAGGCCTATAAGTCTTACTTATTTTTTAGCAATTAGTTACTTTTGCTTGTTCCTTTGTATGCTAGGTATTATTGACTTTAGAATCTTACTCACTCAATTTATTTCGATCGTGAAGAGTCACATTCTTTTGTATAGAACGCAATTTAAACGAAAATCTCCGTTGATTATACGATGAAAATTGTGTATGTTTTATGATACTTTTTTTGTTGACTGTCGGTGAAGTTTTACTTCAACAAAAAAAAAAGGCTGTCATCAGTTGATTCGTATTTTTTCTCAAACTGACACGTGTATTTCTATCAGAGTTGTTCGCCGATTTCAAAATGATGAAAATATAATAGTCATAAAGAAGAGAACAGATGAATCACAGGCTACAGTTTGCAGAAAGAAAAGAAAAACGACAAAATAATATTTTTGATGAATGCGATCGGTGCAAATGTTGTTTTTTTTTCTTCTAATGCAAAAGTTATGTTGAAACGTTATTGACTTCATAAGCGCCGCATTGAGAGTGAAACAACTACTGATTGGAAGAAACAGTCATGGCCAATCAACCAGGAAATCCAAATATGAAAATGTTAATTCCGATGATTAATGAATTACAACGAATTTTTACCATGGTTAATACTCGATTAACATTAACATTACCTCAAATAGCAGTTGTCGGCTCGCAATCAGCAGGCAAGAGTTCTGTACTTGAAAATATTGTCGGTAGAGATTTTTTACCTCGTGGTGGAAGTATGGTGACAAAGCGACCTTTAGTTCTACAATTGGTTACATCTCAAGGGCAAGAATATGGCGTATTTGGCCATAAACCACAGCAAAGATTTACGAACTACGCTGATATTCGTCAAGAAATTGAAAATGATACCAAAGCAGTAGTACGTAATGATATGGGTGTTTCAAATATGCCAATCAATCTAACAATTTATTCACCACATGTTGTAAATCTCACTTTAGTCGATTTACCCGGTATGGTTAAAGTACCCTCACAAGGACAACCGCTCGATATTAGCAAAAGGATCGATGATATTATTCTCGAATATATTAGTAATGAAAATTGTCTTATTCTAGCTGTCACACCGGCTAATATCGATCTAGTAACTTCGGATGCATTAGTTATCGCTCGTAGTAGAGATCCGACAGGTAAACGTACTATTGGTGTATTAACTAAACTAGATATGATGGGTCGAGGTCATAATGCACGTGACGTATTTTTGAATAAAGTTGTCGTTCTTGAAAGAGGCTTCATCGGTGTTGTTCTTCGTGGTCAACGTGTCGATGAATATGGTCGAGTAATGAGAGAATTGGATATACCAGCTGCAATCGAATTCGAACGACAATTCTTTCTTAATGATCCAGCCTATCATGATATGGCAGATCGAATGGGTGTACCGTATTTACAACATACACTTAGTATTCAACTTACTGAACATATTCTCAAATGCTTGCCAGATTTAAAACGTGAATTACAAGCACGTTATCGTGATTTAGCTAAAGAAGTAGCTGAATATCGCACATCGGCTATGCTTGAAGGTAACGGTGTTGATACAAAAGCTTTAGTGGTATTAACACATGAGTTACAAGAAGATTTTGATGCCGCATTGAAAGGAACTAATTTGAAAGATTCTGATTTGAAAAGTTTGACAGGTGGAGCTCGTATTGCTACGATTTTTAAATATCGTTTTCCATCTGAATTGGCTAAAGTTGATCTTCAAGATAAAGATATGCGCAATCAATTAGTTTTAGCCATAAAAAATATTCGTGGTTTTCGAGCCGGTTTATTTACACCAGACGAAGCATTCGAATATATTGTTCAAATGCAAATAGCCAAATTTGAAGAGCCCGTACTAATATGTGTTGATATGATTGTCTCTGAATTGAAGAAAATTATTCATGAAGTAACAAGTAAATTGAAACGTTATCCATACTTACAACGAGTCACCGAAGAATTACTAACACAATATTTGAAAGAACGTGAAATTGCTACAAAACAAGCGTGTACTCTTTATGTTCAAACACAATTAGCCTACATCAATACGACCAATGAAGAATTTATTGGATTTGCTAATGCACAGAAATCGGTCAATATAAGTGAAGGAAATCGAAATATTACTAATCAAATTATTCGTAAAGGATTTCTTCGTATGCATACTAGTGCAAAATTGTTTCAAGCAAAAGAATATTTTTTCGTTTTATCGACCGATAATCTATCTTGGTATGGTGATTCCGATGAACGAGATAAAAAATATATGTTACAATTGGAAAATCTCAAATTGCGCGATGTTGATGGTGGTTTTATGGGTAAACGACTACAATTTGCTTTGTACAATACAGAAGGAAGAAATGTCTATAAAGAACATAGAATGCTTGAACTTTCTGCTGAAAATAAAGAAGAGATGGAAAGTTGGAAAGAAGCATTTTCTCGTGCCGGTATCTTTTCTGAACGTGGACAACGTGTCGAGACGTCTGCGACATCGACAGATGGCAATTCTGGTGATCCACATATGGAACGTCAAGTAGAAACTATCAATATTTTGGTAGCATCTTACATGAGAATTGTAGCAAAAATGACACGCGATTTCATTCCGAAAACAATCGTGTGTAATATTGTACAAGAACTACGAAAGTATATCTCAAGAGAATTGTTAGTCAGTCTCTATGCTATACCAAATGCGAAATCACTATTGGAAGAATCAGCTGAAGAACGACAACGTCGTCAAGGAAAAATTGCTGAATTTGAAGCAGTGAAAAATGCACTAAATATTATAGAAAATTTTCATATCAACGCACGTAAGTTATCTACAGGTATGATACCAACATCAACAGGAACCACTACTTCTTCGAATATCACTATGAACAATCAATTTGGACAATCATCAAATTCATCTACAAATTTAGTTGACACGTTTTCTGGTGTTAATACAAATCGTTTTTCCGGCCATCATATTCAACCAAATCAACAAGCATGGAACTCTTTTGGATCGTCTGCCCAGTCACCATCAGTTGTCCTACCTAGCCAATTACGCTCTTCTTACGTAAATAGGTCAACAACACCACCTTCGCCCATAGTACCTCAGCGTCCGCTACCACCACGTCCACCACCACGACCATTTGATGGACCACCAGTTTAGTAACAAGATTAATCGAAGCATTGAGAAAAACCAAAACTATAATATTTACATATCGGGTTCCTCTTCTCATTCCATTCTCGTGAACACTTTTTATTTTTACTCTTACGTTATTATTTTCATCGAGACAATGCTTTGTTCATTTTTTATGCGAAGCACTAATTTCGTTCGAGAAAAAAAAAGGATTCTTAATTTTTCGAAAACTTCATCTAGGAAAAATAATTTGATGAAAACATCTATTACTATTCAGACGGTACGTTCGATAGGAAACAAGAGCTAGCTTAACGAAACAGATTTTCTATTGATAGATACTGCAAAATGACAACACCTGAAATGTTCATCAAATATTCTAATGGATGGATGAGAAACAACCAATAACCGAACAGTCGATGTTCAAAGTATTGAGAAAAAATTAGTTGAATGGAAAATCCTTTTAATAAGGGTAGCACTATTTCGTAAGTTTTTCAAGGTAAAGAAAAAGAAAGTGATACTTTATTTCCAAGTACATTAAAAAATGATTTCGAATAAGAAAAGAAGTATCACTAGTTGAAAGGTACCATATGGCAAGTTTTGAAACGGTTTTCCTCAGCGTATGTAATACATGATGAACTACATTATATGAATTTCATTCAATCTCTTTGTGAAGCTGTATAAAGATACTCTTTCTCCTAAGACTTGATTTTTTATTGATATATGAAACGAGCCAGTTTTCCACCAGGTATTGTCGATTAAGTTAAGGATTTCAACCGGTTTCAAGTCAAGAAGGTTTCTGCTCATCGTCTAATTCAAAACTCTCTCTTTTACGCTTATGTCATGTGTCTTTATGAGACAGAAGTGATTCAAAAGCTGTAGTTACGAAAACACACTCATATGCATCGAACAATTTCAGTAAACATCAATGCAAAGATTCAGCGAAATGGCTTTCTCAGGTGTTATAGGATGATGCTTTACAGTGAGTTCAAATGCCACTAATTGAATATTATACTCGATGGAATTCAGTAGCTATTATCAATTGAGTATTGACAGCTTATATTCTAGTTTTCAGGCCGTCAATATAAAAGAGAAAGTGACCAATGAAAACTTGTTCTTCATTAATTAATGCTTTCGAATATGTACTTTCTTGTATTCATAATACATCAAGTCTAGTATTTCTTTATATACATGACTTCGTAGAACTGTGTTTACTCAAGACTTCAAACTTCTTTTTCAATTTGAATTAGTTTAAGAATCATGTTCCTTCAATGTTTTTAGGATGCTAATGCCCTTAAAAATCTCAATGATTGCGAAAAATAGTGTGAAACATCAAAACCTTGAATAGATCATCTCCTATTTGAACAAAAGTGTCTTGATTCTATCAATGTTCAGATTACAATGAACACATTGGATATGATATTTATAAGTGTATTCAATCGTCTTTTAACATATTTTGGATACTCATAAAGCCAGATAAAAGAGATTTGTAAGAAATCGAAGATTGCTAGTGTGATTGTGTGAAGATAAAGAACATGGCTAGATTGTGCAAATAATAATCATAAAAAGCTGGCATGATGTACTTCGAAGCTCGCTTGACGAAAATCTTTTCGAATCCTTTCTATGACAAGATATAAAATTCGACAATGTGAACAGTTTTGTCAACGATTTATGAAAGTTAGTAATCAACATTAGATGTTAATCGACGAAATTGCCAATGAATGAGAGGTATCCTATGGAATGCTATTCCATAATCGAACTCCTATTTCAGAACACACTGTTAGAAAACTTTTGATAGGATCACTACCAGTGGGAAACAAGTTTTCACATATATTCGGCATTTTTGAGTTTGCAAAAGAACAAGAGAATTGTACCAATGTTTGAAAAAAGCAAGTAATGTTGATGCAATTGATTAAACAATATTGGAATGATATTATCAAGAATTCTATGATAGAATAGTTTCATTTATTTTTAATATGGAAGCCAATCTTGCCGAAGAGTAATATTTTATTGACATGAGACCTGATTTACATTCAGGAAAAGAATTTTAGCCTTTCGTATTTTTTTGTTAGTAATCATCATTTAAAACATGACGTTCGAGAAAATTTTCGAACAATCATAGAAACATAACAATTTGGATAGAGTGGAAAAAACTGATTTTCGTCTATCATGTTACTTAAAGGACCATTAATTGATGATGAGGTATGCATAAATGCCAAAAACAAAAATGATCCCAAATATAATAACATATATGTAAGAAAATGTGATTCGAAGATGACAATATGTGTATCACAAAGAACCCAAATACCACGCCAAAGAAAGAGACATGAAAAAAATGCCAATAAATGTCGAACATTACGATAGAGTTGAGGAAAATTAATAGAAACAAATGTCCAAAAATCAAATTTCAAATTTAAATATTCAAGATAATTTTGAAAATACATTAACGGAAAATATAGAATATAACCAACTAATATACAAATCCAAGCTGATTTGTCTGAATCATTGTGATATAGAGTTTCATCAAGAAAATGATAAAAACCACGCCATGTCATTATTGTTATATTTGAAATCAATACTTCGTATAAAAAATAATTGATTAAATTAATTTTCCATGGAGACATCTTGAAAAAAAAACCAACAACATGGTTCACTTTGTTGATTTTTTTCTTTTGAAAATCGAAAGAAAAATACTTACTTGTCGTGTAAGTAATGGACAACCAAAATGTATACAATATTCAATATCATCATAACTAACAAGAAATGGTGCACAAACAAGATCAGATAAATGTCCAATCAATACAATCAATGCAAAAAGTGATGTAAGTGAAAGAACTAATTCAAAATACCATTCATGAGGTGTATATTGATCCCAAACTGTCCATAACACTTCCCATTGAACTATATATATTGATGCTAATAGAAAAATGTGTAATTTCAAGAGAATCAACTGAATAAAACGTTTTCGTCTCTTCAAAAATTCATACAAAACATCTTGAGCAAGATGAAGAAATAAAAGAAGAATTTGAACTATAATATACGGAATAAATAATGTATATATTGAATAATGACTTAAGTTTTCGTCAGATATTGTATGTTGGTCTGGTGTTGATGAATGATGATCAACTGTCTGTAATAGAATCCAAACAAGATTCCAGCCACATTGCCAGAAGAGAACAATAATTGGAAGTAGAAATAAACCAACAATAATTGGCTCCATGATAAATAAGATTTGACGATGACGTTGATAGCGTTTTTTTCGAAGAGAATTCAAAGTAATCAAATTTAATTCTCCATTTGTTTCGTCTTCTATGAAAATATTACCGTCTGAAACGGCCGACAATCGCCGTTCATTGATAGATCCATCATAATCATTGTCAGTTCTTGAAAAACATCTTGGTCGAAATTCAGCACTTGATGGTGGAACTCGTTCTTGTCTACGATATTCATCACCATATGGTAAAGGAATCTGAGAAGTAGTTGAAAATCGACGTGTAGCATTGACCGACATACTTAGATGACGGCTCAAACCTTGACCTTCTTCGAAAAGAAAGACCGGTATAGACATTGTATTTTGACCAAGATATGTTTGTTGTGTATGTTCATCATTGTCAGTCATTTTTATTCTCACTTTACTATGAAACAATCTTAACGTCTACGAACAAAGATTGTGTTTCTCCCTAGTTGAAGATATCAAGTTTCCTTTTCTTTTGTTATACTTCTTATCATGAATCTTTGGCGTCATATACACAAAAGCATGCTTTTACTTTATTTTGTCATTGTCATATCTTTTATCTTCCATCTCACCCTAATATCTCGTATTGGAGAGTTTGTTTCACAATCACGTCACCTAAATATAGCAGACTTTGATCCACTCCTGGCTCATATCATTTTCTTGGTCAAAAAAGCTTTCTAATATTGTATAATTGCTATTAGCAATAGAAAAGAATATTTTGGCATTGCACTAAATATATTTATATTACATTATCAATATGAATATAAGTAATTACATGTAGAGAAATAATCTTTCGATGAAACGCTTGAATTTGAATAAACAAGCATTTATTTGTTATATTTTGAATTATCTACCGGTAGAACCTTCTCGTGTTCATTAGAATGAAATATTGAAACAAGAATTATTTCTCCAGTCTTGGCATGATTGATCGCACGTTCTTGTCTTTTTTTAAAGTTAGTTGAATCAAGAATAAGTCATTCTGATTTCAATCTTACACAATCGATGCAAGCAGAAAAATGTTCTGCTTGTCATCCAATAATGGTAGTATCATTACCATCAACTCGATGAAGTGAAATAATTAACTACACGTGCATTAGGAAATCATTTTTCAGTCCACGTCTCGATATCTATGGATTGTATTGAACGCTTAGTATAGCATCTTAACAACTGTATGCTTAGGTCTTTGAAATCCCATAAATAAACTATCGTCTAGTTTATCCATCAGCATATAGCTTAGTAGATTATCGTTTATCGTACACATTCGTATTTTCGTCTTGAATTCTTCTGATGGTTATGTCAGTATTTAGTCGTAATATAAATTTCGCTATATGGATATTGTTCACGATCATAAACTTAGCATGCTATATTGGAATGCCCATTATTTTTCGTTCCTGTGTCATTTCATAGTTGAGTTATATCTAAATCTCAATTGTAAACGAAGTATCATTATAATAACAATGGAAAGAAAATGCTGTTAAAAAATTGTCGCCGTACTTCCAATATGTTTCTCAAAGACAATTGCTTGACGAGAAGAGTGAGTATTAATATGGACAGATTTGAATGTCGACTTTAGGTGCATGGTTTCTTCTCATCTAGAGTTCCTTACACCCTCTGTACGATTTGTTTGTTTCGAGGTTTTAACCAATCTAGTTTCACTTAGGCATGTGCAGTTTCAGTACACTGACCACCGATAAAATCACACCGCCGTTCACCGGTACGCTGATGCCACTGACACTGCGCGCACTGTCCGCAGTGACATACTGACACTGAGCGCACTGACTACAGTGTCTGCACCGACATTTGTGTTCATTGGATCAGTGCATACACTGACACTGACTGCACGTGTTGCACTGACGCATACTGGAAGGGTGTGGGTGGGTGTGGCTGTGGCTGTGGGTGTGGGTGTGAGTGTGGGGTGTCGGTGGATGTGGGGTGTGGGTATGGGTGTGCGTGTGGGTTAAGGTAGATATTCACACAGCCGGAGCCAAAGCTACACTGCACACCCACCACCACCCACACACCGACACGCCGACACCAACGCTCACATCCCACTCACATCCACATCCACCCACACCCACCACACACCCACACCCCACACCTACACCGACACCCACACCCATCTGGAACATGTTCCAGACCGAATTCCTACTACTTTTACTATGTGTAATCTAGAATTCCTATAAGAAAAACCAGTTTTTTGAGAATTCGTGTCCGAGAGTTTGACCTATGGAAAATCTTCTTATACCATTCGATAGAGCCCATCGCGTTGTGATGGGAACACGGCTAGAATATCTGGAATATAATCCTAAGCCAATTCCTGCTACTTTTACTATGTGCAATCGAGAATTCCTATAGGAAAAAACCAGTTTCCTGGGATTTCGGATCGGATACCAAGAGCTATGGAAAATCTTCCTATACCATTGGATAGAGCTCATCGCGTTATCCTTGGAACACGGCTGGAGTATCTGGAACATATGCCTGAGCCAATCCCTGCTACTTTTACTATGTGCTATCGAGAATTCCTTCATGCAAAAAACAGTTTCTTCGGATTTCGGGTTGGATAGTTTGAGCTATAGAAAATCCTCTTATACCATTGCATAGTGCTCATCGAGTTGTACTTGGAACACAGCTGGAACATCTGGAAGATGTTTCTGAGCGAATCCCTCCTACTTTGGCTATGTGTAGTCTAGAATCCCTATAAGGAAAGCCAGTTTTTTAGGATTTAGGGTCCGACAGCTTGACCTATGGAAAATCCTCTTACATCATTGGATAGTGCTCATCGAGTTCTGATGGGAACACGGCTAGAATATCTGGAACATATTCCTAAGCCAATTCCTGCTACTTTTACTATGTGCAATCGAGAATTCCTATAGGGAAAAACCAGTTTCCTGGGATTTCGGGTCGGATACCAAGAGCTATGGAAAATCTTCTGATACCATTGGATAGAGCTCATCGAGTTATGCTTCGAACACCGCTGGGCCATCTGGAACATATTCCTGATCGAATCCCTGCTAGTTTTACTATGTTTAATGTAGAATTCCTATAGGGAAAAAACAGTTTTTTGAGATTTCAGGTCGAATACCTTGAGCTATGGGTAATCTTCTCACTCGATTCGATAGATCTCATCGCGTTGTGCTTGGAACAGGGGCAGAACATCTGGAACATGTTTCTGAGCGAATCCCTGCTACTTTTACTATGTGTAATTTTGAATTCATATAGGGGAACAGCAGTTTCTTGGGATTCCGGATTGGATAGTTTAAGCTATGCGAAAAGGTCCTTATACCATATGATAGACCTTATCACGTTGTGTTTCCCAGACGGCTGGAGCATCTGGAAGATGTTGCTGAGCGAATCCCTGCTACTTTTACTACGTGTAATCTAGAATTCCTATCGGGAAAAAATAGTTTTTTGGGATTTCTGCTGGGATAGGTTGAGCTATGGAAAATCTTCTTATACCACTGGATAGTGCTCATCGAGTTATAGTTGGAACACGGCTGGAACATGTTTTTGAGCGAATGCCTGCTACTTTTACTGTTCGTAATCCAGAATTCCATCAGGGGAAAACCAGTTTCTTTGGATTTCGGGTCGGATAGTTTGAGCTATGGAAAATGTTCTTGTACAATTCGATAGACCTTCTCGGGTTGTACTAACCACAGGGCTGTAACATGTTGCTGTGCGAATCCCACCTACTTTTACTAGGTCAGTTCAAGAATTCCTATTGGGAAGAACCATTTTTTTGTCATTTCGGGTCGGATAGTTGGAGCTATGGAAAATCTTCTTATACCATTGGATAGAGCTCATCGAGTTATGCTGGGAACACGACTGGAACATGTGGAACATGTTGCTGTGCGAAACCCTTCTACTTTTACTAGTTCAGTTGGAGAATTCCTATTGAGAAGAACCAGTTTTTCATGATTTCGGATCGGATAGTTTGAGCTCTGGAAAATGTTCCGATACCATATGATAGACCTCATCGCGTTGTGCTTGGAACACGGCTGGAACATCTGGAACATGTTCCTGAGCGAATCCCTGCTACTTTTAGTATGTCTAATCTAGAATTCTTATCGGGAAAAACCAGGTTTTTGGGATTTCGCGTCGGATAGGTTAAGTTATGTAAAATCTTCTTATACCATTGGATAGTGCTCATCGAGTTGTAGTTCGAACACGGCTGGAACATGTTTTTCAGCGAATGCCTGCTCCTTTTACATTGCGTAGTCTAGAATTCCATCAGGGGGAAACCGGTTTTTCGCGTTTTCGGATCGGATAGTTTAAGCCATAGGAAGTCTTCTTATACAATTTGATAGTCCTCCTTGGGTTGTGCTAGGAACACGGCTGGAACTTCTGGCACATGTTGCTGTGCGACTCCCTGCCACTTTTACTAGGTCAATTCTAGAATTCCTGTTGGGAAGAGCCGGGTTTCTTGTGATTTCAGATCGAATACTTTGAGCTATGGACAATGTTCTTACACCATATGATAGACCTCGTCACGTTGTGCTTGGAACACTGCTGGAACATGTTTCTGAGCGAATCCCTTGCTACTTTTACTAAGTGTAATCTACAAATGCTATCGGGAAAAACCAGTTTTTTGACATTTCTCGTCGGATCGGTTGAGCTATGTAAAATCTACGAACACCATTGGATAATGCTCATCGAGTTGTAGTTGGAGCACGGCTGGAACATGTTTTTGAGGGAATGCCTACTATTTTTACTATGCGTAATCTAGAATTCCGTGAGGGGCAAAACAGTGTGTTTTGGTTTTCCGATCGGACAGTTTGAGCCAACGCAAATCTTCTTATACAATTGCATAGACGTCCTCCGGTTCCCTTGGAACACGGTCGGAAAATCTGGGACAGGTTCCTGAGCCAATCCCTGGTACTTTTACTATGTGTAATCTAGAATTCCTATAGGGGAAAAGCAGTTTTCTGCGATTTCCGGTGGAATAGCTTGAGGTATGGGAAATCTTCTCATACCATTGGTTAGAGCTCCTCGGGTTGGGCTTCGAACACGGCTGGAACATCTGCAATATGTTCCTGAGCGAATCCCTGCTACTTTCACCATCTGTAATCTAGAATTCGTATATGGGAAAAGCAGTTTTTTCGTGTGTCGGATCGGATAGTTTGAGCTATGGGAAATCTCCTTATACCATATGATAGACCTCCTCGGATTGCGCTTAGAACGCAGCTGAAACATCTGGGACATTTTCGTGAGCGAATCCATGCTACTTTTACCATGTGTAATGTAGAATTCCTATATGGAAAAACCAGTTTTTTGGTGTTTCAGGTCGGATACCTTGAGCTATAGAATATCTACTAATACCATTGGATAGACCTTGTCGCGTCGCGCTTGGAACACGGCTGGAGCATCTGCAACATGTTCGTGAGCGA